AGTTGACGATGTTAGCCATAGCCAGCCATCGATTACTTCAATGGACACATCATATTCAAACACCATCTCGTGAATCTCAGTGGTTGCTAAGAAATCGCAAGAAACGTATGCGTTCCCTCAATTTTGGCTGTACGTAGTGTACTAGTACTTCACAGAGGGGGTGTAGCGCCGGAAGAACACACGAACGAAGGAGGTGTGAATCCCTGTCAGAAGTAAATTTTTCAAGAAGACGGTAAATGTCATAAACAATTCTTGAATCTCCATCACAGTTTCTGGTGGGAGCAGTCTCTCGAAAATGGAGTCCACTTTCGGTTCCGCACCAAAATGGCCGGCCCTCGTCAACGTCGAGAGTCCCTCATCGACCCATTTCGAATTCGACAAGCATGGCGGACGCAACGGCAAGTAGCCGTGGAGGCCTCCGCCGTATAAAGGAAGAAGACATCCAGGCTATAGAAGATCGCTTGCTGCGGCTCGAACGGCGCGTGAAGAAGGACCATGAAGAAAGTGCACAGTACGCTGCCCGCGCCAACGCGGAAAAGCACGTCAAGAAGAAATCACTTTATGAGCAAGAGCACGAAATCGTCGACGAATACAAAGGCAATGACGTACAGGGCGAAGGTCAACACAACAGTGAGCGTATCGATGGCGTGGGCAGAGAACACCTGCCGGGTCATCGCCACGGACGTCGGCAGGGAGATTACGATGATCGTGAGATTCGACGCAACGATAGACTACGAGAACACGTCGACAATCCACATCGCAAGGAGGGGAAGCCCCTTGAGCTTGATGCTTCAGGCAACAGGCACTTTTCCCTTCCAAGCACCGACGTCTTCGTCGTGGCCACCGTGTTTGGACTGGTGCTGATGGCGGCACTGTATCTTATTCGCAAAGTTCGCAGACAGCGCACGCGTAGTTACCAAAGCATTGATTAAAAATTCACGATTTGCAGTATTACCAGGCATGTTGTCTTTGTTGTAGAAAAGCAAGCTCAAGCTGGCTTAAACAGACCCCTTTCGTCGTCCTTCCTTCTTCTTCTTGAGCCTTGCCAAATGTTCCTTGAGCTGGTTCACGTCGCAAGCGTTCAGCCCAATCGGTGGGTCTTCTTTCAGCGACACGTACAATTCCATGATCTTGCCAACGAGCTCGTCCTTTTCACGTCGCAAAGCCAATGCTTTCGTCTTGCTCAATTCGCCGCCCCCCCCTTGTCGAAAGTCTTGTTCGCGGCGTTCGGCTGCTTCGGCGGCGAGCTGTCGTTTTGTGTTCACGGACGGCTCTCGCTCTTTGTATAGGTACTCTTGATGGTGTTCTCTGTATACATCTCTATTAGCTTCCCTCAGCTTTGTCCTCCTGTCAATAGCGATTGTGCATGACGTACTGGTCGTCCTTGTCCACCGGCGGCTTGCTTCCGCAGCAACCCATCAGTCGTTCCACGACAGAATGCAACTGTTAAGCTTGGCAAGAATAGTATAGCCGTCAATGTTGTTGATGACAAGAATCTCTTCAATTTTGTATGTGATTTAATTTTCAGCTCCACATGGATCTTTAAAATTCGCATGTACTGGAAGAGTTCGCACTGGACACTGAAAGAGAACGATGTCACATCGGCGACAGCAGGCGGTAGCAAACCCGCCCTCGAAGCGGTCCCCTTGAGTGTGAGGATGGTAGGACGTAGTTAAGGGTCGACGAACGCCTTTCACGAAACAGGCAACGGTGCTCCGTTTAAATCGGGGGACCAGTGAGGGCTTGACGCTGTAAAGTGGATGCCCACGTGCATCGATTGTACACAACCTTTTTCGTTCGAGCACACACTACATGATCTGACAATCCTTTTGCTTCTTGCCATCGACGCTTTTTGAACTCTGCCGCTGGAAAAACTTGTCGCTCAAACTGCGACCTCGCTTGGCCGGGCTGCGCGCAATCGCCTCGTTCGAAGGCGGTCGACCAATGACTTGATGCACGACATCCTGCGCTTCTTCTGGCTCTGATAGCTTCAATGGCGGTGGCACAGACGGAGCAGCCACGGGGACACTTGGCGTGTCCAACGATATGTCAGCCATGGAAAGTTGCACCGGGGAGCTGGTTGGCAAAGAGGCCACCGGGCTAGCTGCTGGCACATCTTGCTGGGCAACGGTGTCTTCCGAGCTCGAGTTTTTGCGGTCGGTGATGCTACTGCGAATTTCACGCAGCTTGGCTCCAAACTTCATTTTGATTTTCACCTAGCAGCACGGGATCGGTTTCTTCACACAAGGTATAGCAGCAGGACACATACCATAAGCAGGAGGTTATTGACGGGTGTGAATGCCAGGTTGATATCCGAATCGGAGATGGACACCACCGACACGCGCATGGCGAGGGCAGCATTTTCTTCATCCTGGTCTAGCAGGGCTTGCTTGGCGTGGTGTAGCCATGGGTGGTCCTTGAGCTCGGCCAACGTTATCCGTGTGTCAGGGTTCTTGTCCATGAGGCGGCGAAGGATATCGACGCAGTCGTCGTCGACATCCGGTGTCGGGAAGTCGAGGGCATCTTCGCGGATGCATTCCATGATTGCCAGCGCGCCGCCCGACATGGACTCTGGCGAGTGCGCAAACGGAAGGCGCCGAAACAGCATCGCGTACATCGTGACCCCGAGCGCCCACACGTCGACCTTGAATGGGTCAAAGGCTTTCCCGACTGTGCATTCCGGCGCCAGGTAATGGTACGTGCCTTCGGTATTTTTGAGTTGGTTGGACGAGGGGTCATCTTCAGAAAACATGTGCGCGACGCCAAAGTCGCTGAGCTTGTAGTGGACACTATCGTTTGATCGCAGTACGTTCTAGGAGCAACCATGTGAGTTTGGTTGGCTCGGTATTGCGAAAAGTTGACTCACTTCAGGCTTGATGTCACGGTGGCATATTTGGTTTGCGTGCACTACATGAAAATTGGTTTGTTTGGAGCGTGAAAGATGGAGAGGGTAAAGTGAGATCAAGCACACATACAATATTCCAGCGCTAGCGCGATGTCGAGCATGCACGTCTGCACGATACTCGCAGGGGCGGGTTCTTCCGCGCCCATGTAGTTGTACAGCATCGCTTGCTGGTCCCAGTCCATGACTTGCCCGCCCTTGACGAGCTCCAGCACGAGGTACATCTTGTCGTGCTCAGCGTCGTCGATGACTTCGTGTAGTTTGGTCAAGTTCGGGTGATTCAACTTCTTCATGATCGCGACTTCCTTTTCGACCTTGTTGAATGCGTTCGAGTGAACCGGACGACCGTTCACCATCTTGATCTCGCGCTTGCGTTTCAAGAACGACTTGTTTAGGATCTTTAGCGCCTGCATCAAGAAACATGATTGAAGACTCGTCGTAGCCATGGCATTGCGAGGTGGGTTGTGACGTACGTAGTTGGTGCGGAGGAAGTTAACAGTCTTGTAGCACAAGTACACCTTGGAGTACGCGCCTTCGCCCAAGAATTCCCCGATTTTGTACTCGTTTACTTGGCTCGGCACTCCATCATCATTCTCTTCGACCTGCGCGACGTCTGTCTGCTTCACTTCCGTCTCGTCTGCCGTCGCCATCGTCTCTGTCGCAAAGTCGTAAATTCACGTCGTCAGTGTGTTTGGGCTTGTGCGTAGGCTCGACTATCCGGATCCTGTGGTAAGTCGCTTCATGTCTCGCAATGAGGAAAAATCCCAATGTCCTTATCTGCATGTTGACAAACGTTATCGCGTTAAAGATTTGTCTGTTAGGTCGTTCGTTAATGGGACAACCAGGCGGCAACAGGAAGGAGCGCTGAAGTGCTCATATGATGATAAATTGCAGAATTTGCCGTCGTCGTCAAGCATCAAGCTAATGCGAAAATGTCCGATTTACCCTCTGTCATTGAATCTGTCCCTACCCTCCAACGACCCGCAGGTGTTCTGATGGGAAACATCCCATGAATCGGCACATTTGGAGGTGAATTTTTGTGGAATTTACGATAAATCAACGTCATCCGGATATGTTCACGATGCAATCAGACGACACCACAACCGCCTGCGCCATCAAGGGCATTTTGTCGTGGCGCGTTGGCAACGAATTCGTCGAGCTCCTTTATGACCCCTCAGCGAGGTAGGGAGGCGATGATAGTGTGAATACTATGAAGATGTGTGGTATTCACTCCTAGGTATTTCGAACTCGATGTGTAGCATCAATCGAAGAAGATGAATGGGGTCGATGTTAAAATTGCACGCTTAGTTGGCCGAGAAAGAGGCTTGTCCGTTGTTGGTGCAACGGTTGTATTGGTCAAAGTAGTATTGGCAGCTCGCGACGTTGTTCTGGTTGGCGTTCAAGCAGTCCATGAAGGCTTTGTGGTCGTTGGAGCAGGCGTTTTGGGCAGGAGCAGCAGCAGCTGCAGGGGCAACCGCAGGTGCTTCTTGGCGCGCTTCGTCACTGCTACCGCCGAAAGAGTTGGCAACGGCACCGACCGCACGGTGGGCAATCGCGCTACCGGTACCAAAGGCCATACCGGAGGCAACAGTGCCCAGCAAGCCGGACATCATGCCGCCGCTTTGTTGCTGCATGGGAGCAGGAGCAGGGGCCGCTTGCACGGGTGCCGGAGCAGGCGCGGGTTTAGGAGCGGGCTTAGCAGCTGGGGCAGGCGCCGAGCGGCGAGGAGACGAAGACGAACGGGAGCGGGCCATTGTCGCGTGAGAGGTTCCTGCTGAAAGGTGAAATGAGCGGAGTTGAGGTGGTTTGGATATGCCGCATCTGATTGGCTATAATAATAGTGTTTTCGAGAAGAAACCGAAATCCTGCGAACTGATTGGCCAAACGTTAATGGTGAATCTCCCTCGTCCTTCGAGACGCTCAACGAAACGAAACGGAATGATGGTCTCTGCTGGAATGTTTGTGTTTCGTCAAGGCGGACAAAGAAATCAAAACTTTGTGGGGGGGGGCTACAGGGAAACCCCGCAGGTCCATAAGGACAATGGACACAGTGTACAGTCAGCTACACGAGCGTTGGAATGTTGGGAGGGGCGCTATGCCTGCTCAAGATCTTCTATCAGCGTTCTCTTGTTTGACTGGGATCATAGATGCGCGATACTACTGAAGTCATAGTCCGTCATGGCCGATGTGATTTCCCACACGTCGTTGGGCTTAGGCGTGGTCCTGTTGTGCGTGCATGACGACATAACCACGGTGTGCCTTCCGACCGCCGAATCGCGCTCGAGAAAGGTCGAAAATATATACAGGAATGCTTTGTTTCGTTTGATGGCTCAAATGCTCTCAGCTCGATGGAACATGGTTAAAGCTCTGCTCGAAAGTTTCCTTGGGACTTGCACATGTTGAACTGGTCAAAGTAAAACTGGCAGCTCGCAATGTCATTCTTGCTGACTTGCAAGCAGTCCAAGAACGCCTTGTGGTCATTCAGACACGAATTGAATTCAGGAGGAGCCAAAGATGTTGGCGATGTTGTCGTAGCTTCTGCCGAGTTTGTCGACGGTGTCGAGGCAGCCACGTGGTCGCTACTTCCTCCAAACGAGTTGGCAACGGCACCAACGGCACGATGGGCGATGGCACTGCCTGTTCCGAAAGCCATGCCCTCGGCGACAGTGCCAAGAAGTCCCGATCCAAGACCACCTCCAGGTTGAGTTTGAACGGGAACTGGGGCACTGGCTGTCGTACGAGCAACCGGTGCAGGCGCTGGCTTGGCAGTCAGGACGGGTCGACGAGAGCTTGACGAAGCGGAAGAACGAGAGCGCGCCATAGTGCTTAGAAGTTGTGTGCGTGGAATCCAGGGGGAATGGAAAAGTTAGGCAGTGGGTCAGGGTTCTTGATGTGAATTGTTGCGTCGTCGCGAACCACAACGAATCACAGAATGCGTGTTATTCGAGAAGGGGAATGATGGTCGGCGGCATGCTGATCTAGTTTTGGCCAATGAGAAAACAGGAGGGTTGATAGGGCCCGAAGGATTCGACCGCAAACAAAAGGCGACGTCAACTCGGTCGACGCTGTCGCGAACATGACCGGCACATGGAAGTCTTGCACAACGGAGGAGAGCGATGCAGGGCTCGCGCGGCGGGTCATCCAACGGGCGTTTGAATCCTATGCATAGACGCCCCAACCTTCAGAGAAATGTGTGATGCGAAACGGTGGACGGCACGCCCCACACCATGCCTCAAAAGTAACGGCTGGTCTAACGAGAAGAAACGTGGGTGGGTGTTTATGGAGGAAGCAGCAGCGCACCCGCTTCCGCCCCCCGCGACGCCGTCGCCACCGGCGTCTCCCACACGAAAGCTCAGTTTGACGGACAGGCCGAAGCTGGCCCGGACCCCATCGAACACGGTTCAAGTCGTCGAAACCGACGTCGCTGCAGTGAAAGTCGACGACACCGGAGCTCCACACCGCGTGAATGATTACCTTGTTGTGAAGTTGTTGGGCGAAGGTGCGTTTGCCAAGGTGTACCTGGTTGAGCGCACCAAAGACGACAGTACCAAGCAATACGTACGTCACGACGACCGTCGTCCGTTGAGTCTACTTGGAGATAGGCCATGAAAGTGTTCAACAAGTCGTTTTTGAAGCGGAAGCGAGAATTCAAAAAGGTTGACGGGAAAATGGTCCAAACGTCTGCGTTCCAGGTCGGTGGGTGGCGGTCACCCTGGCCTGCTCCCAACCACGTCCGTCGTGTTAGAAAGTGCAAAAGGAGGTGGCCATCATGAAAAAGCTGTGCCACCCACACTTGACCAAGCTTTATGAGGTCCGTCCCTCCAACGCCACTCCCCCCCTCTCGAATCGCTTGGTGAATGATCGGGGGGTCGCTCCTGCAGGTCATTGACTCTCCCGACGACGACAAAATGTTCTTGATCCTGGAGCTGCTCTCCGGCGGCCAAATCATGGAGTACAACGCCACGTCGCTGCGGTACACTTACCCGGAGGAAGGAATGGCTTCGTCGGCGCGCCTTCTGATGGTCCAAAACTGCACCCTCGACATTGCGCTTGCTCTCGAGTACCGTACGTCCATGAGATGTCCAAAGATGGCACAACGTCGTCTTCATGCATGGGATGTTTGCTGTGCAGTGCATGCCAATCACATTTGCCATCGCGACATCAAGCCCGAGGTACACAAATTCTTAAGTCGTCTTCCAGGGATAGTCTAGAGGAATGACGAGATCGCCCGTGCTTAGAACGTCCTCGTGACAGACACGGGGTTTTACAAGCTCGGGGACTTTGGAGTCGCGTACATGTTTACCGAAGACGACGCCAGCAACGCCCTCCAGCTCAAATCGACGGAAGGCACGTATCACTTCCTCGCCCCCGAGTGTACGACAGGTACGTCTTGAGCCCAATCCCCATGCCGCCCTCGTTCCATGCGCCACGCAAATGTCTATGCCTTAGGCGAGCCGTACGACCCGTTCAAAGTCGATATTTGGGCGCTGGGGGTCACCTTATACGCCATGCTGTTTGGCACGGTGCCGTTTGGCGCGCATGCGGACTCAGTGCCAGGAATCCTCGCCTCCATTCGCGACGACCCGCTCGTGATTCCCGACGAAAGCATCCCGTCGGACCTGCAAGCGCTCGTGCTGGCCATGTTGGATAAGAGTCCATGGACCCGCATCTCGGTAAGGCTGTCCTGCCCACTCGAACACTGCATTCACCCTTGGATAGATTGGCGACATTTTGCACCACCCATGGCTCGTCGAGCACTCGTTGCTCAAGCGCCCGTCGCTGACGCAACTGGTCGAAGTCACGGTCGAGGACATCGACCTCGCATTCACGCCCATCAACAATTTCATCTTGATGACGAAGCTCAAGATGAAGATGCATGGCCGCCTCTCGCATGCGCGCATCGCGTTGTCCAAGAAATTGTCGACGGGAGGTCCGAATTCACCGCCGCCGTCACCGCCCAGATCGCCGTCGCGTTCGGGCTTCGACGATCTGTGCCTCGTCAAAAGTCAAGAGGACGATGTGCACGCTGTACAAGAGCCAGAGCCCACCGAACACTCGGGGGAATCCGCCAGTGAAGCGTGCGCCCTCATGTAGAAAAGCAAGACGTCCACCGTACCTCACGTGGCATCCCCAACGCGTCGGCCATACTCTAACACTACTCACTTGCCGTTGGGCAGATTCTTCATCACCCCACGAACGGTTCCATCCCAGACTTGCGTGCCAAGGATTGCTGCTTACCCTTATGACATGAAAGCGTCGATGCGTCCTGTCGTCAAAATTCGCGTATGCAGTGGCGTGTGGGAGCGGATTTCCCTTGCCAGGGCTCATATGGATGAACTGCGGGGGGGGGGTCTGTGCGTCGCTCGCACCCATCCTCCCACCCGAAAATTCTTGACCGCTCCCCTTCACACGTCCTTCAACCAAAGGCAATGGCAGGTCCCCGGGGGCAACAACACTTTCCACACACCATCATCCAGATCGCTCTAGACCGATACTTGGCATCTTTAACGTGGATATTTGAACCGATCGACTGCGCCGCTGGTGGCCGGACGCGGTCGCAGACCCTTGCCGTCGGCACTGCTCAAACGTTGCAGCAGAAGATATCTCATGCGCCAATCACAGCGTGGTTGGTACCTCGTCCACACTTCAACTTTACGTTTTTCCGCCAATCGATGCTCCTGAAAATGTACATTTTAACCAATCAAATTGGATTCTATAGCTTTCGGCCTGGGACACTGCCGCTCTGGGACATTTCGCACCTGTTCCGACCTTGCCATGACTTGAAATTTGTATGCTGTGTAGTTGACGCGTTCCGATTGGCTAGAGTTTTCCACGTTGCTTGCGGAATTGGTTAGAATTCATGAGTCCGCACTCAGCAACTCACGCCGCCCCAACACGATCCTATCATCCATGGTCTTCAAGGTGCATGCAATCTCCCCCGTGAGCGCCAAGGTCGTTGCCGTGGGCGAGATCAACCGCGTCATTGTGTACATCCTACGAGTAGACTGCGGTGGACGAACCAAGTACGTCTCCCGTCGGTACTCGGAGTTTCGCGACCTGAAGAAAGAGATCCACGCCTATGCGACGACCCCGCGCCGAGCGGATTCGTGCCAGATCTGCTGCGACGTCATGTCGCTTGGCCTCAACCGAAGCGATGGATTCCCACGACGGAAACTTCTCCACAGCGAAAGTCTTGCGGTCGCCCGAATGGAAGAACTGTCAGTGTTTGTCAAGAACCTCATGATCTCGACTCAAGGACTCCTCGATGAATCGTGCGCTATTCCGGCAAAGTTGCGCTCATTCTTCCTGCTTCCGTCCTCACACACGTCTACTTCTTTGGGCCCCAAGGGTGATGACATCGATGCAGGGATGGTCTACCTCACCACCGTCCAACTGCGCATGATTCGACAAACGGACGCCGCCGACTTTCAAAATGACACAGAAATCAATTCGCCGCCCACGAACGCATTGCATCGACAGCATTCGCTCGTTATTTATCCGTAGCAACATCATCTTGTTAGTGTCACGATTATCTGTAATTCGAATATTCCTGCCGTCACCTTGGGGTCGTCGTGTCATGGACCGATGGCCCCAACGCCTCGAGCGTCTGCCTAAGGGTTGGCGCATACTCAAATGGCCTCAACTTACCTCTCTTCCCATCACACATGCCGGTAGTTGCAAATTAACCAGTAGCTCGGACCTCTTCAGTCCATCCCCCCCTTGCTCAAGTCCCATGTTACTCAAGTGCATCGACCATGTCACAGAAGCTTCCCTGCTGTGGCATCAATCACAACGAGTTTGGTTGAAACAGCCGCAGATGATGGGTCTTTTCCGCTAGCAACGACCACCGACGTCGGTGTCCAAGAAAGCATCGCATCGAGCGCCCCATGACATCCCTAGGCAGTTCATGTCATGTGCCAGGATCTGTATATTATTGCAGGAAGTAGTTGAAGAGGTCGCTGAGCGCTACTATCCCGACACACCGGCTGCTCTCGTCCACACACACCAAGTGGTGTGCTTTGGTCGCGGCAAACTTTTCAAACATCATGTGGAGCGTGTCGTGGGTCGAACAAAAGTGCAAGTTGTCGCCGAGGACGCCCTACCACACGGCATTCAAGTGCCTCCATTCCCGCCGCCCGCCTACCTCGGCCATCTGAACCCGCAAAATCTCGCCCACGGGGGCATCTAACTGCGACAGCGCCCGATCCTTCACTAGTTCCTACCCCTCCGTGCATGAGATACTCATGCTATGCTGGGGGAGCGTCGTCGTACCGTCACATCGGACACAGAGTAGAGGTACATGACGGCGCCGGCGGCATCCACGATCGGGACGGCCGATATCCGTCGCTCCATGAGAGCGTGGAGAACGTGAATCAGCGGCGTATCTTCGGGAATCGTCACGAGATTCGTGAATGTACCAATGCCGAGGTCGGCGATGCTCTGGTCGAACAGTCGGCGCTGTTCTCGAAAGGTCGACACCAAATACTCCAAGATGCCTACGCCATGTCGGTCGTCACATGCATCACGGTAAACCGACGACTCACCTGCATGGGTGACGATGGACAGCACCAAGTTCTGGTTTGTGTCGAGCACCGCCAGTCGATGTAGTCGGTGGTGCTGCAGCGACACACACGCGTCAAAGAGACTCGCTTCCGGCGAGATGTGAATCATTTGCGAAACGTCAAACTCGGGCGGCGACAGATGCAGCGCAGCGCTCATGTGCTTCCACGACGCGATGCTGTAGTCGGCCACTGACGCCATGGACCCCCGCGGGTAAAAATGCCGCAAAATGTTGACAAAGTCCGTCGCAGTGAACATCCCGACGAATCGGCCTTGGTCGGCATCCCACAACGGCACCGACTTGATGTGGTGCTCCACCAGCGCGAAGAACGCCAAGTTGACGGGAATTTTGACGTCGAACACGACGACTTTGCCGCTGTTCTTGATCACGTCGTAGCACTTGGCCGACTTGAGGAATTCGCGGACGACTCGCCGACCTTCTTCAATCACGTTCATCGCATACATGTCCATGTTCATGGTCAGGTTCAGGTTCAGGTTTCCGTTCGTGACGGGATCGAGCTTGAAACTGTTGAGTTGTTGATGTGCTGGGTGCCGTTGGTCGGTTGGAGACCGATACATGTTGGACTGCGATATCCCCTCAGACGACGACGATGGTGCTGGTGGCGGGGTGACGAGGGAGAACGGCAAACGGCCGACGTGTTGCTGTAAGTTGAGGGGTGGCTGATTTCTGTGATGACTGCCGTTGGTGCTACTACCGCCGTCACTACCATATCCCATGTCGACGTCCAACGTGTTGACATTGCCATCGTCGACGCCTCGTCGACCTACATGATGATGGGGATACACATGATCTGACATGCGCCGCTGGGGCTGTGGGCTTTTCTGTTGTCCATGGGGCTGCGAGTCCCTGTGGATGCCAATGGACGGACTCGGACGCCGCGGGACTTGGTCGGCCATCCTGCTTCCGCGATGTGGCTGCCCTTTGTGGGGAAGAGTGGAACACGTAAAAATATTATCACTTGGTATTTAATTGTTTCTGGTATAACATTTAAATTTCACCGAGTTACATACAAATCCCTATCTATCATAAAGAGTATTGATGAGCCTTCTCCGAATCCGGATAGTTTATCCGGTCACACCTGGTCTGCAACATGAGCATGCAAGCGTCTGCAGGAGAAAGGTCGGCGTTGGCTGGATGGCAAGGACAGCAATGCTCGTTGTAAACGTCGCACACCACCGCGCCGACGAGCGCCGCTTCTTGCAGCTGGTACCACGGATACCGAGAGCGACAACTCGGACCAATTTCTGAAACGCTTGAACCAGTCTGGATGCGGCCGTGGGAAAGTGGCGACAACGACGAAGCTGCGAATATCCGCTCGGCGGTGCAAGACGCCATCCAACGACGTGTACACTCCTTGATGCTTGAGACGGATCTCGTCAAGAGGAAGCCCGACGGCTCCAGTCGACTTGTTGGAACGTCGCTGAGCGAAGACGTTGTGTCGGTGGCGTGTCGTGTTTTGGACAACGTAGGCAAACACCCCACGTCCCTCGGTGTACGTGAAATGACTTCGTCTCTGCAGTGCATTCAAGCTAAGTCACTGGACACGACGGATGTGCGGCTGCAGCTACAATTTGTTCGACGCATGCTCTCGAAGGTCCGAGGGGTCCACATCTTCAAAAGAGATACATGTGACAAGATCGCGTAGGCCGCAGAACTCGACACGGTCGCGGCGCAGCTTGGAAACCAGGCAACGCGTGATCTCTTGGTGACGCAGCGCACTATGCCCAACAACTTCGCTCAAGTCGCACCAATCCGCTTGACTCAGCATCTCAAGGAACCGCTGCCACAGGCTGCTCGAGGTGGCAAGTCCTCCGCCGCCAAGCCATCGACGACATGCAGAGCCAAGCAATTGTAGTTCCTCGTCGATTTAGCACTGGACCATACAATGGAAAAGCACATGGTGCTCTTTTGCTGCGTTCCAATCGAACCGTGAACATCAACCCATGTCGATCGTTCCGGGTACGTGCTTGCACATCGACTTTCATGGCACTGGCCCTGCCCAAGCCAAGGCGCCCTGTCATCCTGATGACCCACCTACGGCTTAGAGATGCTTGGCAGGAGCTTTAGATGCAGAAAGTGCTCTTGGTCCTGCAAAGTCTCACATCGAAGCAACTGGAATGGCATGAGGCGCATTTGCAACTGCCCACCGCACCATGCTCTTCATGGACGATGTAGACACCGTCGTCTTTTTCATTTGGCAGTACGCTGGCCTGTACCTGCCTCCCTGCCGCGTACGCTGCATCCTGGTTGAACTGGCCCATACGTGCCATCCATCACACAAAGGAAACGTACGTGAAGATCCATGTTGTTCCTGGGACAAGATGAGAGTTACTCTCACGTGTAAACTCTGTGCGCAGCATGTGTCGACGCTCGTGCGGATCGAATTCCTGCCCGTGACGATTACCATGATGTCGTGTGGACTGCCCTTACGATTTGGAGAAGCGAGCATCAATGCGCAGCCCTTGGGCGCCCCGTGTATGATCAAGTTGTTCTCCGTTTGGTCACTCACACGTCGCTCTCAATGGAATGTGTGAGTTCGGCTTCCTTTGCCGTAACATCGCGTACAGCTCCGGAACGCCGCCGACGGACGCACGGCGCCGCTTGCCATGGTCGACGTGTGCCGCCTTGTGATGGACGAATACATCAAGCAGTTTCGCAATCCGCCTTCGGTGTACAAAACGTGCCCCGAAGCGGCCTTGACTCTCCTCGACAACTTCAAAGTCGACCTCTCCAAGCGCACGACCGAATGCCAAATCACTGGGTGCTGGTGGGCATACTTCATCACGGCAGGATATGTCACCCAAGAAGGCGTGAATTGCCCCATCACAGACATCAGCACCAACACGATTGTGCCTCCGAACAAAGTGAATTGCACGGAGGCGGAATCGCGGCAAACACTCCCTCCAGTGTCCACACGTGCTTATGATCCGACGCCTGCCGCATCGTCGTCGGCTAGTGGATCGAGCCCCGTTGCAACATCGACGACTGCTTCCCCAGCCATTGCGTCCACAGCCGTTGTCGCTAGCTCCGATTCATCCGTGACGATCGTGATTGTCGTAGCTGCCACCGTGATCGTGCTCCTCGGAATCTTCGTTGTCTGGCGACTGCGCGTCGTCAAGCGAGATCGCGGCGATTCTTTTCATCAGCTCCACGACAATACAAAGCAGACGGCGGAAGTGTCGACCGAGGGTGCCACCACGAATTTCAACCCCGACACGAGTTTCCTAGCTGGCAGCGAAGACGACACGGAGCTGCTCGCGATGTGGCGCATTCCTCCAAATGAAATCGTCATGGAGTGCCGGCTCGCGGAAGGCGCGTTCGGCGAAGTTTGGCGTGGGTCGTACAGGGGCGAGGCGGTGGCCGTCAAAATGCTGCACAAGCACAAATCGTCGATGGCAGACATCCGCGTATTCATCGACGAAATCAAGCTCGTGGCCAAGTACTCTTCCTTCGCCCAAACGGATGCCATGCCATTGACGCGGTGTTGCCGTGTAGGATGGACTGCGAAGCGATCGTGCAATTTGTCGGGGTCTCGTACCACCGCCTGGTGGACGTGAAGATGGTCACTGAGTTCATGAGTGGTGGGGACCTCCGCACGGTGCTCCACGAGTCGAACGACGTGTCGTTCCCGGTCGCGCAAAAGCTCGAGTGCGCCATCCGCATTGCCGACGCGTTGGTGTTCATGCACGTGATGGAACCGAAAGTTATCCACCGCGACCTCAAGTCGCGCAACGTGCTCCTGGACCCCGTCAAAGGGGCCAAATTGACCGACTTTGGCGTATCCCGGGAAGCCATCGACCACGAAACACTAACCCAGGGCGTCGGGACGTACCGATGGATGGCGCCCGAGGTGCTAGTCGACGGCCACTATACGACATCGGCTGACATGTATTCGTTTGGCGTGATCCTGACCGAGCTCAACACGCATGAAATTCCATACGCCGATCGGAAAAACGCGACCGGTGGAGCCATGTCGGACACGGCCATCATCGCCCAAGTGATCCGAGGAGATCTAAAGCCTTCGTTCCGGCCAGATGCCGACCCGTGGTTCGTCGAGTTTGCGCTCAAATGCCTCGACAGCCAGCCCGTGAACCGGCCGACAGCGATGGAAGCAGCGTACTTTCTTCGGATGGCGCTGCGAAGGGAGCACGGTAGCATGCCGAGATAACACGCACGAAGTCACACTAGAATCGTCCGTCGTGGAGATGGTGCAGTTCGTTCGAGGGGCGGCCGTGATCACGTTTTGTTGTTCCGAGCACTTGGTACAAAACATCGTGGTGATATATGCACAGCAATCCCCTCGTCCATCCGTCAGCATGCCACAACCGATCATGTCTTCGTTTGGATGGCAAAGTTTGCCTTAAACATCACGGATGTTTATACACTTGTGTGAGTTGCTCTCTGTCTCTGGATGGATGCACTGGAGGCACCACATGCCGTCAACTTCGGCAAAGAGCGCGTCCGTGCTGTCGTGTGGAGGAGTTGGTACAAAGGCGACGGATCGAAGCTATCCAGTCGTCGAGAAGTTGAGCCGTACAAAACTCGACCAAAGTCAATGCGAGCCTCCTTAGCAACCACAATTGAACGAACGTCAAACGAAGGAGGGGAGGTGGCGCTACCGATGGCCTTCGCCGACTGCACGACGACGTCAGAGGAGCTAGACTCACCGCACTGCAAACATCAAAGCCTGGTCGAACGATAGTTCATACAAGACGGAGATCGAATCCTCCGGTGGCTAGTTGTCAAAGACACTAGCCCTTTGTGCACTCTTCCACGTTTGTTCAACCATTCGGCGCACCGGTCGATCTTGCATCGGCGATTGGCCATGTGCTTCAGGCACAAGGCCGGCCTGACCGCGGCGCCATGAAGCACAGAATGTTCATGGCAGGGAATAAACGGAATCTAAAATCCTGTACATATTTCCTGCTGCGCGAAATGGCTGCGATGGGCCTATAATCCACCGCAATAGGAACCACCCACTGCAGACTTGCGCGACATCGATGGTGGAGTGGTGTTGTCGAGGATCCTGGATACACGTCGTGAAAACGAAGGCCACGAGCCATCGCAACCCTAGTCAGCATTGCAGGTGGCTCGACAGCACGTGCTTCACCTGGAATATTGCATGGGTCGCCACGTCAGCATCACTTTCGCCTGCACATGACCCCCCTTGGTGCAGCCTACTTCCGGCACAGGTTTGGCGGGAAGGGAGGCCAGGGCAAATGCCAAGGTCACCAAAGAAGCTCATATTGATTCCCTTCTTCCCACCAGTAAGGGTTGACAGTGTTTTCCTCGCGTAAGGGCATACTTGATTCACGTTTCATTGAACCCTCACGCCATGGCAAGGATTGACATTCATTGTAGTATCGATGCACAACCACGATTGGTGCCACGTCGGCTGCCCGAACGAACTTGGAACGCACTGTCCTCTCCAGAAGCTGCACATGGACCATTTGAGTTGCTAGCGGCCGCCACCGATGTGCTCGTGGCACTGGCGCCATCCAAGCATTGTCGTCCGTTTGCAGTCGTCCACGACCATCACTCACTACATGCACCAATCACAGCGCAATTTGCAACATGCCGAGTTTCGCGTTTGAGGTATTTGTGGAATCGCCCCCCGCCACGCACCGCTGCGCTGCTGACGATGACCGCCGCCTTGACGTGCTTCTTCAAGGGCTGCGACGAACCTGTCTGTGAAGGGTCGAACAAGTGTCTGCGCCACAAGAAGAAAGGTATATGCCGCACCTCTGGCTGTTGCAACCAGGTCAACAAGCGAGGCGTGTGTGTGAAACATGGTGCTCGTGATGTGTGTGTGATTCCGGGGTGCGTCAGTCTTGGACGCACCAGCGGTTTGTGTAGCAGGCATGCAAGGCTACACCAAAAACAATCTTACGCTGCGGCAAGCGACATCTTGCCGCGGCGGCATGCACAATGCCAAGCAACAGCCTCCTTCAACTACAACTGGTTGCAAGGCCTCCAAGACAACCAACTGTGGCCACACGAAGACATGGAGAAGTGGTGTGGTGAGTGGATGATGATATTAGAGCGGCCAGAGACTTTCGTGATGACGGATGTACTGCCAGATGAAGACTGGCCACTGGTTTGCCAACTCCTGGCCGCCAAATCCGAGGCCAGCGCGTCTTTGTCCATCGAGACGGGCAGCTTGAACGCGATCAACTTTGGAGCTTTTGCAAGTGATCAAGGCAGCGGTAGTCTATCGTCCAAGGTAACACTCAGCGATGTTTGTATTGCGCCCATTGGGACTGTCGCGTGTGATGTCAACGCTTCGATGGGTTCGGCTGTCGCCAACAACAAGACTGTCGTCGCGGAAGCAGCAGGTCCAATCAAACCAGCGTCTTCCTCGACTTCATGGTTGGAGTGGTGCCAGTCGAATCCATCGATGCTGTTGCTCAAGGACTTTATGACCTTTGTGGGTGTCGACGGTGAGTGTGGAAGTGCCCGTAGTCAAAGCCCCATCGACCTTGCGGGCGGCGATTTCGATGGCCTCTTTGATGCGTCGTGTGATTTCCAGTTCGTTCCCGTCTGACATCCACCCGCTTGCCTTGTGACCTGTGCCGGCCATTTGCGTATTTGTTGTATAGTCGCCACAAAAACTGTAACATTCTCGTGTAATTAAGGTATCAAATTCAGCAGAGACACCTTTGTGGCAATGCATTCGAGAAAAGGGAACGAAGCAACCTGTATCATGGCAGCGCGGGCGATCCATAATGTACGAGTGACACGAGGATCGAGCCACAAATGCATCGAATTTTGAGTCCGCAACTGGATGGTGTCGTTGGATTGTTCTCGTTCGATGGCTGGTGGAAGGTTCGGCAGTGCAATTTCGGGAGGACAACGACCTCGCACCACCATACCTCTGTGGGAATTGAAAAAGGAATCGCATGAGCTGTATCACGGATGCGACGGTGGCAATGAGATCATGACGGTGTCTTGGCGGTGGGACCTCCATCACGCCAGATTCGATCCGATTTTAGGTTTCAAGGCACGCTCTTCGTAGTTGTGTGCATCCCTCCAAGGAAGGGACGACAACTATTGTCGGCCATGGGCATACAGACGAATTTCCAACAAGCGCACAGCACAAACCTTGGAAAATACCGTCGTTCGAAGTCGGGTGTAGTATTCGAGACGACGCCACATGCGCAATGGCAAGATGCAGAAAGCGACATCCTGCGCGCATCACGATCACATGCCCGAGAGAGTCCTCGTCGTTTGGCGATGCCACGAAACAACGTCATAGTTTCGAGGGGAAACTGCACAGCATGCGAACGCAACTCGACGACACTTTAGCCGATGACAATGATATCGTCAAGTTGATCATGGTAATCTCGTTAGACTTCAACGACCTCTACCCCACCATGCCGTCGACAACGTTTGGTCCCTTGCGACGTACGTTGACAGCCAACTTCACTGCACAGGAGTTTTCCACCGTGACGCTTGCACTTGCCGTGGCTTTGAGCCGCCGTTGTGCAGCCATTCGCGATGCACTAATACCCTCCGCCATGCGATATACATAAACCACCGTATTGGCGGCAGCGGTCACAACCTGGCATCCTGCATCGCGGCCGTTGTACGCGGGCATGTCGTCCATGGAAATTCATGCCATCGCTAGCATACGAATTGTGCATTGAACGAGTCTCGTGGGATGCCGTCGAGTAGGGTACGACGATGCGTGGTGGCATTGTCGTGGTCGAACCTTCCAAAGTTGTATCGTCCACATCGTGAGCAAGACATTCCTTGTCGTCTTGAGCAGGACCAAAGAGCACATCAACGAGAGCGTTCAACATCCTGCGGTCGAGAACGTCCAAGTCGAATTTATTGAGGTCTTCCAATCTCGGTGAAATGGATTGGTGGTGGTGGTGGTCCAGATCGAATTGTAGCGGTACGTACGACGACGCAATCATCCCGACAAGGAGAATTCAAAAATGCAGAGCAAGGGGGGTCTCGAATGCGGTACGGCCGAGTCGCTGACAGTACAGTCAGCGACCGTCCACGTCTTTTGCAAGCATCCCGCCACGCCTGAGAAAACCCAGCGACAACGCCCCCAACGCACTTCAAGCTTTAGCAACATTGCGAGGTTGGACAATGCAGTACGACGCCGCAGATCTCCACTTCCGACATATTCTTTTGATGACGACATGCGTTGGCGATTTGTGTGCGCCTGCCATGCCAAATAGCACATGGAGTAGAGAGATGAACAGTCTCCCATTCCCATGGACCTGGTAACGTGAATTGGTATCGCGGCATGCGCTGGGCAATCGAACGGACGACGCGACAAGTCATGCCGTTTCAGCACCGTCCCACTGATCCCGGAGCATCTTGGCCGTTGCCTCGGCCGTGTGAGAAGCCAGCATGTAACACGTAATTCATTCCGGTGCAGAAGGCCACAACCACGGGCGGCTGCAGTATCTTTAGATTGATTCAGCCGTGGCCTTGTACGCCGTCGGTGCAACCACGCCATGGGGCCTTTCTCGAGATTAATACACCCCACGTCGCCTGCAATGTCATCGTATCGGCCTCGAGGTCGCGGGGCGACGAACCCTCGTTGGAGGCAGCCAATCTCTCGACCTTCCGCTGCGAAGGCCATCCTGCTCGAGCAGCAGACGCAACCACATCCACTATCGAGCGAAAACTGAACTTTTTGAGTGTCTCACGCTGCTGCGTCGCCGTCATCGACAACGTTGTGCCTGCCGCAGGTCGATTGCATCAAACTATGATTCCGTGCCATGGTGCCGCCAGTGCAGCACGATATGACAGAATTGCCTCTCGCATGGACTTTGAAAAGGGAGCTCTGTCAAATTTGAGTGAAATCCACAACCGTTCCATGTTGTCCGTCCACGATAACCCGTGAAACGATCATACATCCCAATGTAGGCTTTTTCCGGGGTTCACTGTACAACTGTACTGTAGTCTTGGGAGCGCAGCTCGCACTCAGCCAGTTCGTCTTGAACTGTGAGCGCGAAGTAGTTTTAGTGGTGTTCATCGTGGATTCGACCCAACGAAAAAAATAATTTCATCTACTGTGTCAATGTCAATGTTTCATTGCACGCCACATAAAATAATTGGAAGGGCACGTAGCGAAGGGAAGCACCCTGATGGCGAGGCGATCGGAGCATTGAGGAAATGAGAAGTGGTCGGTGGGAGAAGCCCATCCGCCAGTGTAGGCCAACTGGTCAATAAGAGCACGACACCCAAACGATGTGACGTGTGGCCTTCGCTGCAACTGACTACACTAACATGAGGAAAAAGCAACTTCTAGAAGGCACAAAAAACCTCCTACCATTGCACGACCATCGACGACGGACAGGGCAGTGGGGATGCTCTCGACAGAACCGGGTGTCCTGACGAAGTTGACTATTCTCTCGTCGCGTGCATCGCGTTCATGCTCACGTGAGAATGCGCTTCGCCAAAAAAGCCGACCACCTCTGTAAGATGATCTGTTTTAATAAATTCTGCCACCTGTATATTTCAATATCACTTCATAATTGTCCTTCTTTTTGACCAATTGCAGTGCAGAACAAAAACTACTGTGATTGGTTAACGTTTTGAGAG